TGCGGTTGTATCTCGGCTTTAGGTTGCCTTGAGCAGAATGGCTATACATTGACACCACATCGGTTGACAGCGTTGATATCATATTGGCGTGATGTTTGCAAAGGCGAAAACTGGACAGTATGGATTAAAGAAAAATGCGTTATCGCCAAATACATTGCGTTTTGTTAATGCCTTTCCTTTGATGTTTTACCAAGCCAATTCAACGCATGATTGCACAAGTTAATTTAGTAAAATGTGATAGGTGGCTGGAAAGCACAACGACGTCCTTCATTTTCTCTTGCAACCGACTTGGTTGTGCTAGGCATGCAGTAGCTTGACGGGAGAACTGAGGCGGCAGCGAAGCTGACACCCGACCTCACCCTCTTGTCTTCATCCCGTTTTGACGCTGTCCTGTCCGGAGTGGCCCGTTTGACCACCCCCCCCCCCCCCCCCCCCCCACCCCATTGCGATCTCGGGAAGAATTAATCGCAGGGAGTTTGGAATGGGTTCAAACGACTTCTCCGTCGTTTACCTGCGATATCAGATAATCTTATGGCGGTATGCATTGCAATATCTGTGAAAAGCTGGCAGGTGCAAGTTCATGCTCCCCATTTTGAATACCGTTTGGAGATTAGAGTGCTCAAAGCATTTAATTTATCCAATCTTAATGGCGGGGACAATCACTGCGGAGCATTCAAATAAATAAATATCTAAGGATCGAGTGGAGCGCCGGAGGTTTCATGAAGTCGACATCTATTCACCTCACACGATGCACAATACACACACACGAGTCATAATGCACACGCTCATCAACCGTGCATATGTTTATGTTTCTGGGGTGTATGCAGACTCTGAACATGGGAGAACTGATCCCTCAAAAAACGTGTCCTTGAATTCTCCCCTGGCACTCAAATGTTCATTTTATCTCCTTATCCTACGCGGCACGCAGAGGCCATTCGTGCTGTTCGCTAGCATGACCAGGTTGGAGGACCTGAGAAGACTTGTTCTTTCGGCAGGACCACGCTGCAGATCTTTCGTTCTGTCGGCAAGACCAGACCGTAGACCC